GCGGGGGGGCGGGCAGCCGGGGCCCCCGGCCTCCAGCCAGCTGCTCGGTACTCGGCCTCATCCTGCATCCACAGGCTCGGCCGGGCTGTGGTGCTGGGTCCCTGCCTTCACCCTGTGCTGGGGCACACTAGGGTGCCTGGCAAAAGGGTCTCCCAGCCAGGCAGCCCCCCATCTCACCACAGCCCCTCTCTCTGGGCAGATGATGTCCCTCCACCTCCGGCACCCTTCGCACACCGCGTTGTCACCCTGCGCTCAGACAGTGTCAGCTCCCAGTTCAACCTCAGCTCCAAGGAGATCCTGGGGGGGTAAGGAGGGGTCCCAGGAGGGCGGAGCAGCTCAGCTGTCCCCTGGTGCTGCCCTGAGCATCTGTCCAACCTTGGGCAACCGGTCCTGAGCTGATAGGACTTTTCTGGCCATGAGGGGCTGGTGCCTCAGGCAGGATGGGTGTGGAGGGAGCAGTGGGCAGCACCTCAGAGCAATGTGTGGGTGGCTGGTGGCATTGGCACCTCTCCCTTCCCAGGGGGAAGTTTGGTGAAGTTCACACGTGCACAGAGAAGCAGACGGGGCTCAAGCTGGCGGCCAAAGTCATCCGGAAACAGGGTGCCAAGGACAAGGTCTGAGCCCTGCTGGGGCGGGGGCTCCTCCTGGCCACAGGGCCACCACCAAGTGGTATGGCCAAGGTCGTGGGTGGCAGTGTCATCCCCTGGTGGCTCGGTGAGGGCTGACACCCTTTGCTGCCGTGGGGCTGGTTCTGCAGGAGATGGTGCTGCTGGAGATCGATGTGATGAACCAGCTGAACCACCGCAACCTCATCCAGCTCTACGATGCCATTGAGACGCCGCGGGAGATCATCCTGTTCATGGAGTTGTGAGTGCCAGGGCAACACTGAGGGAGTGACACCTGGGAGAGGGGCACCATCACCTGGGGGGCTTTGGAGATGGAGCAGATGTGATGGCCCTTTGTCTAGCAGAAGGAAATGGCTTCAGGGAATGTCCCCCACTTTGCCTGTCCCCTCTTGGGCATTTCCCCAGCTCTCCTGGGGCTCAGAGGCAGCCTCAGGCTCTACCTGGCCAGGGCAACAGCTCCTTCCATCATGGCTGTGTTGAGGATGGAAATGACCAAAGTCCTGGTGCTCCCCCTTTGCTCTATGGGGATGGGTCTGCTCTACAAACCCTGGGGGATTTGGGGTGTTTTGAGATAACCCCCCTATGTTTGTCTTGCGGGGGTGTCGGTCCCAGTACACACAGGTCCCACCATGGTTCTGCTCAGCCTCTGTAGCAGCAGCTTAGGTGGGGCTGGGCTGGAGGTGCCCTGAGGGGGACAGGGGGCTGTGCAGAGGGGTGGCACGGGGCAGGGGGCTGCAGGTGACCCCGCAGTCTGTCCCTGCACAGCGTGGAGGGCGGCGAGCTCTTCGAGAGGATCATTGATGACGACTACCAGCTGACAGAGGTGGATTGCATGGTGTTTGTCCGGCAGATCTGCAGCTTGGGTGGGGCTGGGCTGGAGGTGCCCTGAGGGGGACAGGGGGCTGTGCAGAGGGGTGGCACGGGGCAGGGGGCTGCAGGTGACCCCGCAGTCTGTCCCTGCACAGCGTGGAGGGCGGCGAGCTCTTCGAGAGGATCATTGATGACGACTACCAGCTGACAGAGGTGGATTGCATGGTGTTTGTCCGGCAGATCTGCGAGGGCATCCGCTTCATGCACCACATGTGTGTCCTCCACCTCGACCTCAAGGTGTGGGGACAGGGGTGGCAGCAGGGGATGGATGTGGCAGCAGGGGCTGGGGGTGGCAGCAGCTCGTGGGGCTGGAGCAAAATGGGGCTTGGGAGGACAGTGGGTGTTTGTGGCCACCAGAGCAGGGAGTGCTGTGTGCTGGCCCAAGCCCTGCCCCAAGGGCAACCTGTCCCCAAGGCCAGTGTGTCCCCAGCACCAGCCAGCCATAGGAGGGATGCCTGAGAGCTGGTATTGCTCTGACAGGGGTTGGAGACCCTCACTATCCCGCCCTTCAGCCACAGACCTTTGGGGACATCCCTTCCTGGCAGTGGGGCTGTGACCTCTCTTCTCTGGCAGTTGGGATCTGGGCAGGCTCTGACAGGGCTTCTTGTCCCCACAGCCCGAGAACATCCTCTGTGCTGCTGCCACTGGACACATGGTGAAGATCATCGACTTTGGGCTGGCTCGAAGGCTTTCCCTCTCAGCTCCCATTCCTCCTTCCTGTACCTCTTCCACTGCCCTCAGAGTGCTGGCAACCCCAGGACCTGCTCTGAGCTGTGGGTTTGGCTGCAGCTCCTGCCCCAGCTCTCCCTGGCTGACACAGGAGGGCTATGGATGGCAGTGTTTGTGAGGAGAGGGACAGCGGTTTGGAGGAGCAGTTTGTCCCCTCCTGCTG